TCTATTTTTTCAGTCAATTATCATTCTTTCCATTTGGGTCCTAGAGAAAGAATATGGAAGCTCCTGACATGAAAGAATTTCAAGTGGAGGGAGTAATAGGAATTCTCTGAAGGTAGAAATGGGAAGCAGAATAGAGAAAAATATTCTGGCTTCAGCAAAGGTGTCAGTGACTGGGATGCAACACAGCACAAAATACTGACTCATATCCTGTTAGTTTCTTCAAATTGCTCAACGTTTTCAAAAGGATAACTATTTAACTAAAAAATGGTGGGAACTATTGGTTATTAAAAATGGACTTGCTAACATCATCAGACTACTGAGCTTATGTTGTAGAAAACAGAGACTGGACTCCATACCATCCAAATACTTTCCCTGACACTTAGGTTATGTTGATTTCACATGATTTGGAGTTACTCGTCTTTTCTCAGATGTTAAAAAAATCTATAAAATTTTATAAACTCTAATGAAATATGTCTAATCTATTTCTAGCATCTACCCCTGGGTTATAAATAAATAAACCATCCAATCAATTATACTAAATTCTTTTACTGTAGCCACTACAGACTCACAGCAAAGTAATATACCAGACGAAGTATTTTCAATCAAATTATTTGTACAGCCCTTCCATATGACACAGAAATTTTCCCCACATTTGAGCTGATGTAGTGATAAAAAAGCCTAATATTAATGTAATCAGATAGTTAGAACTTATAGTTCAAACTCTGAAGTCCAACTCACCAGATTAAAATGTTGGCCACACGTTTACTCTCTGTATTATCTTGGACAACCTACTTTATTTGTCTGGATTTTCATCCTCACTGAAAAAAGGAACTTAATGAATTGTACTTATCCAATTGGACAGCTTGAGTTTACAGTGATGAAGTATATATAGAGAGTGTTTGTTAAATCATTAGGATCAAATTAATAAGAGATATTTTATGCTTCTTGGCATAGTACTGCATAGACAAGGAAATTTCCTTTAAATTCATTAAGAATCTGCCTTCAATGCAGGAGGCCCTGGTTCAGTTCCTGGGTTGAGAAAATCTCCTTGAGAAGGGTTGAGCTACCCACTCCAGTATTCTTGGTTTTTCCTGGTGGCTCAGAGGGTGAAGAATCCACCTGCAAAGTGGGAGACGTGGGTTCAATCTCTAGATTGGGGATATCTCCTGGAGGAGGGCATGGCTAACTAATACAGTATTCTTGCCTGGAGAATCTCCAAGAACAGAGAAGCCTGGTGGGCTACAGTCCACAGGGGTTGCAAAAAGTTGGACATGACTGAGTGACTAAGCACCGCCTGGTACAGCTTCTAGGAAGAAAAAAAAAAAAGCATGCTGTTAAGCTGTCTACATTTTGAAGAACCTAAGGTAAATGATGTCAATACACAAATTCTATCAAAGGCTTTCTGTTCAGGCAAGAAGAAATTCCTTGGTCTATGAAGAATGTTCTGTAGCATGTACCCACTGAATCATTTCTACAGTTTTTAAGAATCCTATCCAGACTGAGTCACATTCCATGCTACTTATGTCCATTGTGCCTATGATGAGTAGCTTTTCTTGATATCTGACCTAAAATTTAAATTCAGTATAGAGAAATCATGAAAATGTGGCTTAGGTCCAAGAAGCAAATATCATGTAAAGTACCCAATGGTATCTTGCATATTTTGACAGAAATGTTCCAATAAGCATTTAGTGGGTATGACATCATTTAATTATCACAATTATCCAATGAATTAGGTATTATCTACATTTTACAATGAAGGAACTGAATCTCAGAAATATTAACTTGCCCCAGGCCCATAGTTAGGAAATGGCAGAATTTGTATTTGAACAAGTATTACTCACTTCAGTCATGTCCAACTCTTTGTGACCACATGGACTATAGCCTGCAAGCCTCCTCTGTCCATGAAATTCTCCAAGCAAGAATACTGGAGTGGGTAGCCATTTCCTTCTCTAGTGCATCTTCATGACCCAGGGATCAAACCCAGGTCTACAACATTGAAGGCAGATTCTTTACCATCTGAGCCACCATTTGAACAAGGCCTAGTCATAATCCAAGGCCAATTCCCACTACACTAAACTGAATACTGAGCATCTCTTCACATCACCACACCAGTCTCCATTCCAATACCAAGAGTCTGTAGCCCCCGAGTCCACACAGTTTCTCTCTAGAAAAAGTTCCAATCAATGTGCTCCGTACAGGGTTAGATTAATAATGGTTCCTTCTTCAGCTAACTTCTCCTTAGGAGAGTGATCATGCTCATCCCAGAAAGAATGCGTGGCTCAGAGAAGTTGAACCCTTCCCTCTTTGAGTTGCATTAGTGACAGTCTGCTCCGCCAACGAGTTTCATTTATGTCCGCGTGATTGGCTGCGACTGGAATCTCTCGAAGCTGATGTGAGGAGGAGGTCTCCTTATTTCTGTCAGTTCTGTGTTGCTGCCATTGCTGCTACAGCCAGAAGCTTTGTGTCAATGTTTTCTGCAACAGGAATACTCTGATGTGATCGCCACGTGCTCTGTTGCTATTAGCGGAATCAGAGTGTTCGTTCAGCTTCTTTCAGACCTGTATCAGCTACCTCTCAACTGTGCACCTTTACAGAAGCACCTGTGTAAGTGGTCGTTTATGGATTTTAAATCTTCCTCTTTGGGATGACCTCTGCCTAACCTATTCACAGAGCTGACAGGTAAATTAACACTAGCTTTGCATAGAGATACTTGTCAGACATACTTGCCAGCCCACTTCAACAAAGGACAACACTTGGCTTTTAAGCCTGTCCATTAGTGTAAGATACGGCTTGTGTCTTTCCAGATACAAAACAGCTTAATTTCTCAGTTTTGGATAAGTAGCTTTCCTGATATGTCGTAGGTTTCAGAGTTTATCTACACATCCCTGCCTTCACCCTTCATATTAGTCTCTGAGCTTGCTAAACATGTTGCTAAATTTTACTGAACATTTTCTATACACAAGGTCATGTGCTGAGCACTTTCAAATTACTAACTTATTAGGTCTCACAATGGTCATACCATTATCATCTCAATTTTGAAGCTGAATAAGCTGAAGTAGAGAATGGTTGAAAAACTTGCACATAGCACACAGCTGGGATTCAAACATCCTTCACCAACACAGCTAAGGAAATCTGATTTCAGAGTCCATGTTCGTAACCACTGCTTTATGTTGCCCTGAAAGTGAGAGATCCATTAAGACCACATCCAAGCTTCTTAGTAGCCAGACTGTTATGAACAAAGTGAATGAGTCGTCACATATTTGAACCCTGTGGTTTCATCATCTTCGTATTTAGCACGCACTTCAGCTTTGACTACCACCAACGTGCTCTCCTACCCTCATCCATACTAAACATTGTGGTGCAGGAGAAGACTTTGAGAGTCCCTTAGGCAGCAAGAAGATCAAACCAGTCAATCCTAAATGAAATAAACCCTGAATATGCATTGGAAGGACTAATGCTGACCTGAAGATTTGATACCTCAGCCACCTGATGACAAGAATTGAGTCACTGAAAAAGATCCTGATTCTAGGAAAGATTGCAGGCAGGAGGCAAAGGGGGTGGCAGAGGATAAAGTGGTAGGATGGCATCACTGACTCAGTGGACGTACATTTGAGAAAACTCTGGGAGACAGTGAAAAACAGGGAAGCCTGTCAAGCTGCAGTTCACGGTGTCTGCACACAAAGAATCAGATGCGACTTAGCGACTGAACAACAACAAAACATACTGTACAAACAATGGTAAGGGAACATGTTCTCTTTTTCTTCCTTCCAAATACTGAGTTGGCTTCCAAAAAGTTTGTTTGCATTTTTCTATAACATCTTCCAGAAAAATCTGAATGAACTTTTTGGCCAACCTATAATTTTCACTTTTAATCCAATTGTGTTGGGAGGGGGGAACTGTAACATAAAACCCATAAAAATGTGAAATAAAAATAATAGTAATAATTGCTTATGATGTAAATAAAGTAAATTTATTTCATACAAAGAGTATTTTCCCAAATCACACACCCAAAAACACTTAAATAGTGAAAAGAGGAACCAAAATAGCAGAAATGTAGTGAATATGCTAAACCTGAACTGATCATATTCAAACATCTCTGACTACTCCATAGTTATGAAGTTTATGGTGGTGAAATTCAGAATGGTCTTGCACTTGTCAAAGAATAGGTTCAATGTAATAGTTAACTAAAAGAGTGCTGTATTACAGTAAATAAAATGATGATGGACAGTGAGGAGACCCAGATTTGAGTTGTGGTTTGATGCTATTAACTATGTGAGCAACCTGTGATACAGCTGAAGGCAGCAGAGTTCACAGGACTAAATGGGTTTCCAGGTGTCTTTAAACTCTAGTACTGTATGCACTTCTGATATTAGTAGCCTGTTACCTTTCTCTATTACAGCATGTTATAATAAGCCAGACTCAATGCTTAGTGTTTCCACTGAGAATAATCAGTAGTCAAAGTGTAATGTGGACTTTTTAAGTATTCATGTTACTGCCTGGTGGTAATTCTTATTGCTCTGTGATAAATAGTGTCCTAGTGACCTAAAATAGTTAACATACTTTCCTATCAGCTTACCACCAGTTTCTTTAGTCGCTCAGTCTTGTCCAACTCTTTTGTGACTCCATGGACTATAGCCCGCCAGGCTCCTCTGTCCAGGAGATTTTCCAGGCAAAAATACTGGAGTGAGTTGCCATTTTCTTCTCCAGGGGATCTTCCTCACCCAGGAATCGAACCCGGGGCTGCTGCCATGTCTCCTGCATTGCAGGAAGGTTCTTTACCACTGAGCCACTGGAGAAGCCTAGCTTACCACCAGAAATGCTCAAAAAGGGGAAAAAAAAAAAAGTAAAAAATTTTCTCATTGGAGACAGTACAGGACTGTTCATTCACTCACAAACATAGGCAAAAGTAGTTTGTGTTTAGAGAAATAAAAGATCTTATTTTTCAGGACTCAAGTTATGGAACTTAAAATCCGAGTCTCCCTACACATTCTGCAGATTCTTCACTCACTAGGCAATGATGACCCACCAGTAACACAGCAAGTTGGCTCATAAGTGTTAGAAGTTTCCAGGAGTTGTGACTTGGGTGTGACGTAGGCCAAAGAGCTGCAGGAACTGGATCCAGGGCTCTGAGCTTGGCACTGGCTACAGTCACATTCCAGAGTCTGGCAACTCTTAGACACATACGTCTTGGCTGGACAAGACTTTGCCATGTTGCTCACAGGTTGGCAGCTCTGGACTACAAACCCCGTTTGCTGGCTACTCCCTGACTGGCAAGGCTGAGAAACACACTCCAACACTGCCGAGGAACTTCTTGACTGGCATGCTGTCCTTTCACAGGGCCTGGAATTAGAACAAGCTGTTTGGACGACTCTGGAGAGGCAGGCATTTTGCACACAGCTCTCCTCTCTGTGTAATTCCTGTTCACCTTCGGGTGCCATGCAGCTGGTGGTTCTCCTGCAGGTTTCTGGAAAGTCGTCCAGGAGCCAGGTCCTGCTGTGGTAACTGCTCGGTAAAAAGAATCCATCTTCAAAGTTTGTAACGTTCGATTCATGTATGATGGCAGAGAGAGGTGGGGCACTGTAGACGTTCTTGAGCGACTGGACAGGTCTCTGGGTCATATTGTGAAAACCCTTGATTGAGTCGGTCCCAGGGACCCAACATGTTGGCCTGAAGATCCAGTTCATTACTGAGGAGGTTATATACTCTGAAAACTGGGTGTTGGCTTCTTCTCATGCCTCTTGCTACTTCATTGCTTAAGCTTATTGGAAGGATAGCATCTCATTAGCACTTTGCTTAGTTATATATGAGGATGATGTTTTATTAGCAAAGAAGCCGGTCCACTTTGAATCTTCAAAATAGCTTTCATGTTAGCCCCAAACATGACTCATTGGGGTGGGGCTTGTCAAATATGAGTCCCAACAGGTCACCAAGCTAACATTTTTTGTTTTTTTCGTTAGTCACCATGACTCTCCATATTGGTAAATAGACTATAAGAATATATGTAGAAATAGCCAATTCAATAATGATTAATATTCAGCACTGGCATTTTGAGAAATGGCACCTTAGCAGAACTTGATATTATAATCAAAACATTTTTCAGTAAGAGGTTGATTTGATTGAAATTGCCCTCATTCTCCTTCGAACTCTTCACCCAAAGTATTGAATTTGACCATTGCCCTATAAACATCTTTCCCTTTATCTAACATTTCATTCCCCTCATCCTACTGAAAGTGAAATTTAAGTGTTAACTCCTTTTAAAGCTTTCCCCTGATTTTCCTGGTTAGATGTTATTACTTACTCTTTTGAATTAGCAATGGGTTCTGACACATTCATTGTTTTGATTATATTTTACACCAAGTAGTATATTTACCTTGTGCTTGATAATCTGTCTTTGTAAGAAACCTGTTTCAAGTATGCTTTCAGTTCAGTTCAGTCACTCAGTCATGTCTGACTCTTCGCGACCCCATGAATCGCAGCACGCAGGCCTCCCTGTCCATCACCAACTCCTGGAGTTTACTCAAACTCATGTCCATCGAGTCGGTGATGCCATCCAGCCATCTCATGCTCTATTATCCCCTTCTCCTCCTGCCCCCAATCCCACCCAGCATCAGGGTCTTTTCCAATGAGTCAACTCTTCGCATGGAGTGGCCAAAGTACTAGAGTTTCAGCTTCAGCATCAGTCCTTCCAATGAACACCCAGGACTGATCTCCTTTAGGATGGACTGGTTGGATCTCCTTGCAGTCCAAGGGACTCTCAAGAGTCTTCTCCAACACCACAGTTCAAAGCATCAATTTTTCGTCACTCACCTTTCCTCACAGTCCAACTCTCACATCCATACATAACTACTGGAAAAATAGCCTTGGTAGACAGACCTTTGTTGACAAAGTAATGTCTCTGCTTTTAAATATGCTGTCTAGTTTGGTCATAACTTTCTTTCCAAGGAGTAAGCGTCTTTTAATTTCGTGGCTGCAATCACTATCTGCAAGTGATTTTGGAGCCAAGAAAAATAAAGCCAACCACTATTTCCTCTGTTTCTCCATCTATTTCCCATGAAGTGATGGGACCAGATGCCATGATCTTAGTTTTCTGAATGTTAAGCTTTAAGCCAACTTTTTTACTCTCCTCTTTCACTTTCATCAATAGGCTTTTTAGTTCCTCTTCACTCTTTGCCAAAAGGTGGTGTCATCTGCATATCTGAGGTTATTGATATTTCTCCTGGCAATCTTGATTCTAGCTTGTGCTTCTTCCAGCCCAGTGTTTCTCATGATGTACTCTGCATATAAGTTAAATAAGCAGGTGACAATATACAGCCTTGACGTACTCCTTTTCCTATTTAAAACCAGTCTGTTGTTCCATGTCCAGTTCTAACTGTTGCTTCCTGACCTGCATACAGGATTCTCAAGAGGCAGTTCAGGTGGTCTGGTATTCCCATCTCTTTCAGAATTTTCCACAGTTTATTGTGATCCACACAGTCGAAGGCTTTGGCATAGTCAATAAAGCAGAAATAGATGTTTTTCTGAAACTCTTTTGCTTTTTCCATGATCCAGCAGATGTTGACAATTTGATCTCTGGTTCCTCTGCCTTTTTTAAAACCAGCTTGAACTTCTGGAAGTTCATGGTTCATGTATTCCTGACAGAATGTGGTCCACTGGAGAAGGGAATGGCAAACCACTTCAGTATTCTTACCTTGAAAATGAAAAGGCAAAAAGATAGGACACTGAAAGAGGAACTTTCAGCATATTGGTGCCCAATATGCTACTGGAGATCAGTGGAGAAATAACTCCAGAAAGAATGAAGGGATGGAGCCAAAGCAAAAACAATACCCAGTTGTGGATGGGACTGATGATAGAAGCAAGGTCCGATGCTGTAAAGAACAATATTGCATAGGAACCTGGAATGTTAGGTCCATGAATCAAGGCAAATTGGAAGCGGTCAAACAGGAGATGGCAAGAGTGAACGTTGACATTCTAGGAATCAGCGAACTAAGATGGACTGCAATGGGTGAATTTAACTCAGATGACCATTATATCTAGTACTGTGGGCAGAAATCCCTTAGAAGAAATGGAGTAGCCATCATGGTCAACAAAAAGAGTCTGAAATGCAGTACTTGGATGCAATCTTAAAAATGACAGAATGATCTCTGTTAGTTTCCAAGTATGCTTTACATTTTTTTTTAATTCAGTGCTTTGTTTTTGATGGAAGAATGATCAGCTCCCACATTTATAATGCTATTATGCTGCACCTAGCATAGTTTCATACTCATAGCCCAAGACCTAGCAGCAGGATTTCTCTAACATATATTGTAATTTATTGAGTTCAGCTTATGACAGTGAAATGGCAGAAGTATATTTTTAGCCCAGCACTCTGGTATATCTCTCTTGGTCTGAAGCAAACCAAGAACACTCAGGAAATTTGAACAACCCTTACATAAGCTCCTCTTTAATATATGATGGACCGAGGATATTATATACTTAAAAGGACACCTCTGAGTGTCCACATTCAGCTTGACAGGTTATACACTCAATTTGTGTATAATGTTTTTGTAATACAGGCAAATTATTTATAATTTTGCATGACCACTTTTGTGAGATGAAAGATGCCCTCCACATGAACCCTATAACAAGCCATTTAATGTTTATGCACATTTGTATTCATCATTACACAAAAGCTTCTTCTCTTCAAAGCAGTAAATGGATTCTCATTGCTCTTAAAAATGAGACCCATTCCCCTACAGCACCATCTAAGACCTGGTTGCTGCCTATTTTTCTTTCTCCAAATCTCACCACTCTTCTCTGCCCAGAATGCTCTGTTCTCCCAAGTCTTCACCTAGTTCCTTGAACATGCCAAGCCTTCCCTTGCTTCTGTATTTTGCACATGCAGTTGTCTATTTCATTCCTTCACTGCCCTCTCCCTTTCTATATACAGCTCCCTTCCTCAATTTTTGTGTCTCAACTTAAATGCTCCTCTTAAGTTATTTCCTTTATCTTTCCAGTTGAAAAAAAAATCACATTCTCGGAGTATCATATTTTTTTCCTTTACAATACTTATCTCAGCTTATAATGATTTCGTTCCTTCATTATGTCTTTGTCATTACACTGTAATATCCATAAAGGCAAGAAATATATATCTTTCTCACTACTATATCCTTAACTCTAAACGCCATGCCTGGCTGGTACATAACAAGAGCTCCATCAGTGTGTTTTGAAACATTAATTAATAGAAGTTGCTAAGTAAAAATTCACTCAGATTGCAGCTAAAAGCCTTAAGGTATATAGTTCTGACACTGGAACATACCCAGGAATTGGCAAGGGTGCACAGGTTATAAAAAAGAAATAATAATAACCATGCCTGCCTCTCAACCACTCCTCAGTGAAATAGGAAGAAAATCATTAGGGAAGGTTCTTATTAGCTGAATCATTTATTTTAGAATAACATTTGCTTACCCATAGAAATAACACAGGCAAATGTTTTTGAAAGCATTTACCAAGCAAAACGGCAGTACTGTTCACTGTCAGCCGAGTCCTGTTGCCAAATTCTGAGGGGCAAAGACAGGACACCATCCAGGCCAACATTCACACAATTGTCTCCAGCAGTTAACCTCTTTATTAACCTCACAATGTGTAGTTAATGAGTGCATACGCATCCGGTTCCAAATCTCCACATGAAGACAGTGTCAGTTGTGAGTGGGTCTGTCATTTACGAATAAGGCAGTTCCATGAGTTCTTTTCTCTTTGGGATGAGGCATTAACTGGAACATTCTGTCTAATTAAGTGTTGAATTAGCAGGTGTTCCACTATATAGTTTTGATTTTAACTGGTGCTGAGTTTATAGAGGGAGTGCCTGGCATATCTCAACAGAATGACGTAGGTTAGGACAACTAGTCACCTTGGAATCATTTTCATTCAACTCACTAAAAACTAAGCATTAGTTCTGCAGGCACTTGAAAATGATAATTATGTAGTCTATTTCCTAGAATTCTTGAGAAATAAGTAGAGTAATTATCTGATGGCTTACGGCGACTGGATTCTTTGCTACTAAATAGTTGAACGGCAGTTTACTGGCCTTGAAGTGACATGATTGCAGATGCAGTGGCACCTCCTAACCACCAGAGGGCGGAATATCAACATTTGCAGTGGCATGCTAAGTCACTTCAGTCGTGTCCAACTGGGCAACCCTGTGAACTGCAGCCTGTCAGATTCCTCTGTCCACGGAATTTTCCAGGCGAGAATACTGGAGTGGGTGGCCATTTCCTACTGAGATGATATGTACGATACCAGACTGCTTGCCACATTTTGAGGGATAAATTGAAAGTATTTCTAATCAAATTAAAGATCATCATACAGACCAAGATGTTGCTCTTGTGACAACATCAGTCTGGGGGTGCTACCATACTGTAAAGTAAAATAAAAGTCTTTATTTGTGTTTTTGAGATTATGTTGTTTACAGCTGTAAATGTCACACATTCTGAGATCCTTTTAAGGGTTGGATTGTGTTTATCATTTCCATTAAATGTCTAGCCAGCCTCTCTCCATCTCTCAAGAACTTAGCATATGGTTGCTGAAGGTTGAGTAGTTTACATTGTTTTTATATTGTTTATGTTGCTACTTTGGACTTCTA